GGATTAAATCTGTATCCAATGGCAATGGCATGCAGGGGAGAAAGCCAGAAAATGGATAAAGGAAGAATAGGATGCTGTCAACAGTCAAAAAAGAGGTTAAATCAGTGGTGCCTACATTAAAAACCTATTTAAAATCTAGGCCTATTTAGATATATAAATCTAATAATGAATAATGAAAATGGTAATGTTTCATTATATTCAATATCTTTATATACCATTAATATATAACAATAATATATAACATTTTCGTGTTAATTGTAATGTTAAATCAAAAAGTAATAATGTCCTACAAAAATCTGATCTCTAAAACAATAAACTCTTCTGAAATATAAATAGTAAACAAGGGATGTGAATGCTCATTGGACAAACCACCCATCAATCAAAACATTGTGATTGAGACAGAGGAGAGCCCTGTAGAGAGAGAGAGAGAGAGAGAGAGTGTGCATTTAGGCCATGCCCACGGGGGGGGGGCCTAAATGTATCTCCTCCTCTCAGATTCACATAGGGTGGTGCATAGGCAGAGGGTGAACAAACTCCAGGGTAAGGCTAAAAGCCAAATGTATTAAACATCATACCCGTCTTTTTAGGCTAGGACCAGACATGAGTTTAGGCTAAAAAGATGTTAAATGGGACTGAATTTGTATTTAACGTAATAAAAAAAAAAACGTTAGAAATTAATAGCCTAACGTTTCCTTTCCACAGTTATTCAAACAGCAAATAAATTATATATAGCCTAGAAAGTGACATTATCACTAACTTTGATCTATCGCGAGTTTAAGCACTCTAAAAAAAAAACTATCGTTATAATCACTAAAGCTGTATACACTGTGAAATGAATCTCTTACTTACATTGTAGGTACATCTGCGCTTTGTTTATGATGAGAGAATTCGCAAGAGTCCGGAATTCAGGCAGCAAACAGCGTGCACTCAACAAAACTGATCTGTTTCAACGATGACTCATCTGAACGCTTCTGATTGGCCATGGCATTCCTAAACTCAACAGAATTGTGTGTGATTGGTTCAAATGCGCAACACTGTAAAAACGCCTCAAATGAAATGCGGTGCAACACGAGCAGATCTTAATTTAATGCCGCAATCGACACTGTCTATTCATATTCACTTTGCTAGCAACAGACGTAATAGATTTAATTTGTTTGTGCAGGGGCATTTTTGCCCCAAGTCCCCTTGGTCTTACACATGCTCCACCTATGGGGTGGTGAAATAATCATTTGACATGGTTAAAAATAATGAATGGTCTTGTCGCCGATTATGTTTCCCTCCAGTGGGCGCAGTTCTCAGAGTAATATAACACTTGCGCTCTACTTTTGTGTCCTAAATAGGGCTGGGCAATATGGGCAAAAATTCATATCTCTGTATTTTTTGGCCGATTTGTGATATAGTGATATTTCAGTTTTTCTTTTTTAATAAATCTGCAAAAATGTCAACAATTCTGTGTTTTTCTGTCAATATGGGGTGCTGTGTGTACATTAATGAGGAAAAAAAATGAACTTAAATGATTTTAGCAAATGGCTGCAATATAACAAAGAGTGAAAAATGTAAGGGGGTCTGAATACTTTCCGTACCCACTGTATATCTCCGTATTTTCGTTTTTGTATTTGTATTTTATATATACATGTATTTAATATATGTATAAATTTCACTTACCACCCAATGTTGTCCAACAAAACAATATATTAAAGGCTATGAAAACAAATACAGTGAATGTAACCGTAAGCCTTTATATTATGTGCAAAAAGGGTTAAAATCACATTTCATTCTAACATTGTAACACTGCAATCTAAAAACAAAAATAAGGCTTTTAAAGTGGAAGTTAAATTCACTAAACTAAAAATGAAAATAAATTAGAACAAAAGCACAGAGTTGTGTTGGCTATTTTGATTACCACATTACAGTCACTTTACAGTCAGTGCTATCATAAAAATAGACTTACTTGTAGGTTTAAAATTCTACATGTCACATTTATTGTCCAACTACAAACGACGGCGCTCGTTTACTGAAGTCTGTGAAGTTTAGCAGAGAATCCCAAAGCAGAAGGCTCATGCACTTCTGACAGAAAAATTTAAATATTTCCATGATTGCTAACATTTACAGATGGAGACTATATACCTGTGAAATGTAAGTTATGCATTTAGGAAGACAGCACATCTCAAACACATTAAACAGCGTGAGAAGCCTAGTGTCTCTGTCAGCGGCACATGCAGCCTTTCTGTCAGAGCATATGACGGGCCGAGCCGCTTAAACTAATATGCGAAACGAAACTATAAACTATATGTCTTACCAGTTTTTAAAGGCCTTAATATGAAGCTTGTCACATGTTTAGAACAAATTGGATTATGCACTTTGTCTGCAGCAGCTCAGTCTGTGTCCTCCTTTTCAGATGTGCTCCTAACAAACTACTGTATATTGATATAAATAGTATTGCCTCATATCGAATCGCTTATAAAGAAAATATTGATATCGTACAAACTCAGACAGCACATCACATGTCCCACCAGAGACAGTAATATATTGGATCACTGTTACACCACAATAAAGAATGCATATCACTCTGTTCCACGGGCCGCTTTAGGACTCTCTGATCACTGTTAAGGACTGTAAAAAGATGGACTAATGAAGCAGAGCAGGATTTAAAAGCTTGTTTTGACCTCACTGATTGGAGTGTTTTTGAAGCTGCTGCCACCGATCTGGACGAGCTCACAGAGACTGTAACATCTTATATCAGTTTCTGTGAAGACATGTGCATTCCTACCAGGACTCACTTAACTTACAACAATGACAAACCATGGTTCACTGCAAAACTCAGACAGCTCCGTCAGGCCAAAGAAGATGCTTACAGGAAGGGGGGCAATGTCTTTTATAAACAGGCTAAATACACACAGGAAAAGGAGATCAGAGTGGCAAAGAGGAATTATTCTGAAAAAATAAGGATTCAATTCTCTTCCAGTAACTCAGCATCAGTGTGGAAAAGTCTGAAAGAGATAATCAACTACAAGACACCATCCCCTAGCACTGTGGAGAATCAACAACTGGCAGACGATCTGAATGAGTTCTACTGCAGGTTTGAAAAAACACCTCACACCCGCCCTGAACACCTCTCCACACAACCATTCACACCTCCAGCAACCCCCCTCTCCCCCACACCTGCAATTCAGATCAGCAAAGACGAGGTGCGCCAGGTCTTCCGGAAGCAGAAAAGGAAAAAAGCACCAGGCCCAGATTGTGTTACACCAGTCTGTCTGAAATCCTGTGCTGACCAGCTGGCCCCCATCTTCACACAGATCTTCAACAGATCACTGGAGCTGTGCGAAGTCCCTTCATGCTTCAAACGCTCCACCATCATCCCCATCCCAAAGAAATCCAAAATCACACGACTAAATGACTACAGGCCTGTAGCTCTAACGTCTGTGGTTATGAAGTCTTTTGAAAAACTGGTGCTGGCCCACCTGAAGGACATCACTGGACCCTTGCTAGATCCTCTTCAGTT